GATGGGGAGGTTGCGGCGCCACCCTCTGTCACTCACAGAGCAGGGCCGATCAGGGGGTTGGGGCGCTGCCCCCTGTCACTCTCAGAGCAGGGCCCATCAGGGGGGTTGGGGCGCCACCACTGTCACACTTGGGGCAGGGCCGATGGAGAGGTTGTGGCTCTACCCTGTCACACACAGAGCAGGGCCCATTGGGGGGGGTGGTTGGGGCGCCGCACCCTGTCACACACAGAGCTGCAGGGCGATCAGGGGGTTTGGGCGCTCCTTGCTGCTCCGCTGATCCCGGTGCCGGGAGGCATATTACCCTTTTACTATATAGGATAGAGGCCTGGTGCATGGGTGGGGGCTGGCTGGTTTGCCCTGAAGGGTGTCCTGGATCAGGGTGGGGGTCCCCACTGGGGTGCCTGGCCAGTCTGGGTGAGGGGCTGAGGGCTGTTTTCCGGAAGCGAGTGACTGAAGCTCCCAACCGCTCCTTTTTTTCTTTTTTTTTTTTCTATTCTGGGCCAGCTTTAGCTCTGAGGCCTCGCTGCTGAAAACATCGATACAATGTTGCGGTCCGGGGCTGACTGACAGCCAGTTTCTGGGGGTTTGTTTAGCTTCTTATTTGCAACATAGTAATAGTTGCTTAGAGTTGCAGCTGAGAGGCCGGCAGCGGCAGGCGGGGAACGTTGGAGTCTGCAGTCACTGAAGCAAGTAAGCCTCCCTGTTCGCTTCAGTGCCTGGCTGCCGGCCGCCATCTTGGCTGACAGTTAATTTGCATATACTCACTGATTAGCCAATGAAAAGGGTAGCGGTCGTACGCTAATTACCATGTTTCTCTTTTATTAGTGTAGATTATCCTGAGTATTTTCACCATGGTGTATCATAAGCACAAATACAATAAAATCTAAAATGAATTCATCTCTCAGAAACAATTTAGTGCTATTTCAGACAAATGGAAGCATAGCTTATTGAGGAAATGATGTTGAGACACCAGATAACCCTTTAGAGAAAAAATTTTTACATCAGAAAATGTTTCAGGAGAATCAAAGATTTAAACATAAAATATTAAATCACATAAAGACTTTGAATATTTTTGTAAGTGAACTGGGACATCGTTGGAGGATTTCAAGCCTGGAGTTGCATGGTCTGATGTTGTAGAAGGTCACTCTGGCCACTGAAAGGGGAGATTCAGTAGACCACATTCCAGTGTTGCTACTGGGAAGTGAGCAGTCACACCCGTATTTCCCCATGGCTGCTTTTAAGATCTCTTTGTCTTGGATGTTCTGCAACTTGAGATTTGATGAGAGCAATGAATCTGAAGTGTGTTGTCTTCCAATAATTCAGAAAAATATTCTGCCAGTGTCTCTTTCCTACATTTTCTATTATTTCCTTAGAGACTTCACTTAGACATATATTAGATTTTCTCATTCTGTTCTTCATATTTCTTATCCTTTCTTTCAAACATTTCCTCTCTCTCTCTCTCTCTCTCTCTCTCTCTCTCTCTCTTAAATCTCTGGACTGCATTGTGAATATATATTTTTAAATTTATATCTTCCCATTTCACTGATTTTTCTCTTTAAGTGTGTCAAATCTATAGTGTATTCTTTTTATTATTTTTTTTAAAATATATTTTATTGACTTTTTACAGAGAGGAAGGGAGAGGGATAGAAAGTTAGAAACATTGATGAGTGAGAAACATCGATCAAGCTGCCTCCTGCACACCCTTACTGGGGATGTGCCTGCAACCAAGGTACATGCCCTTGACCAGAATTGAACCTGGGACCCTTGAGTCTGCAGGCCGACGCTCTATCCGCTGAGCCAAACCGGTTAGGGCTTATTATTTTTTTTGTAAGAGAACATTTATTGGGTAAATTACAGAGGTAGGAAAAGTAATTCCTAGCAGAAATGGGCTTAGGAATTGAGTTATAGAGGTAAAGGAAGGGCCCTTGGAGCTTGGGAGTGAAGAAGCTAATGGTAATGTGCCTGGGGCCAGAGAGATAGGGGTAGGGGTAGGTGAAGGGGAAAGGAAAGGCAGGCATGCTCCAGGAGGGAGAGCACTTTAGTTTGTTGGGGGTTTTTTTTTGTGTTTTTTTTTTAAGTTTCAATCATTTTAGTTTTCACTTCTAGAAGTTTTACTGTATTTTTTTCAAATCTGCTTGACCAAGTCCTTAGATTATGTTGTTTCTTGTCCATATGTTCAAGCTTCTTCTTTTTTAAATTTCTGTAAACATGTTATGAATACTTATTTTTAAAAATTGTGTAAAATATACATGACATAAAATTTACCATTTTTAAGTTTACAGGTCAGCCATGCTAAGTAATTCACATCGCTGTGCAATGATCTCCAGAACTCATTCCATCTTGCAAAACTGATGAATACTTATTTTTAAACAATAAAGTCACAAAAATGCTTGAAAAAAACATTTCACTCGGTTGTTTGGAGTATCATCCTGTACACCAAAAAGTTGCGGATTCGATCCCAAGTCAGCACGTATGGGAGGGAACTGATTGATGTTTCTCTCTCACATGTCCCTCTCTCTCTAAAATAAAACAAGCCAAAGCAACAAAACAATAAGAAACATATCCTCGAGTGAGGATTTAAAAAATAAAAAACTACAGGTGATATTTATATAATCACGAGGTGTGTAGTGACTTTTTAAGCATTTGTACCAGTCTGAAATCATAAAGATCCTATGTAATAAAAGGTTAATATGCAAATTGTCTCCTCGGGAGTTCTAGCGACTGGAGTTCAACCGCTCGCTATGACATGCACTGACCACCAGGGGGCGGCGTGGAATGAAGGAAGGCTCTGGTCAATAGCCGGGGGAAAGAAGGCCCCAATGGGCCCTGATTGCAGGCCAGGCCTAGGGACCCTACCATGCACGAATTTCGTGCACTGGGCCTCTAGTTTGTATATAAAGAAATGCAAAAGTCTTCAAATTACCATGAAAATCAAGACAAATGGAAAACTGGGGGAAATTCGTTTTTTAAAAAATATTTTTTATTGATTTTAGAGAGAGAGGAAAGGAGAGGGAGAGAGAGAGAAACATTGATGTGAGAGAGTGAAATAGGAATTTTAGGGGAATATAAGCAGGGTTTAGGGAATTTTCAGAATTGGGAGTCCATGGGAAAAAAACCAGGACTACAGACTGGGAGAAGTTACATTTCCATAATACAAGGGAGCCAGGCTGTTACATTTTCATAAGATAAGGGAACTCGGAGTAGCCAAAAGGTCTGTATTTACAAAATAAAGAAGGAAGAAAGCCCAGAAGGAGAAGGAGAGGAAGAGGGCATCACATGTCCCATGTGATGTTTTTTGTTTTGTTTTTTTAAAATATATTTTTATTGATTTCAGAGAGGAAAGGAGAGGGGGAGAGAGAGAGATAGAAACATCAATGATGAGAGGGAATCATTGATCGGCTGCCTCCTGCATGCCCCCTACTGGGGATCGAGCCTGCAACCGGAGCATGTGCCCTTGACCGGAATCGAACTGGGGACCCTTCAGTCCGCAGGCCAACACTCTATCCATTTAGCCAAACGGGCCAGGGCCCCATGTGATGTTTGACCTTCAATCTCAGGAGTTATTATAGTAACCAATTCAAAAGGGACTATTGACCAATCAGAAGGGATATCAGGACACAGGGACTTGTAGCCTTTATAAACCATGGCCACAGGAAGTCGGAGAGACTTTCCCCCTCCCCACATGGGAGTCTGTGCTGTGGGGCTCTTTCCCCCTCCCCAGTGGGAGTCTGTACTTGTTCTTCAATAAACCTCCACCTTTTCTAGACCATCTTCAGTCCGTGGATTCATTCTTCGACTCCGACGGACAAAGAATTTGGGTAACCATCCTGCACAGGGGAACACCACGTCTTCCAGTCCAGAAATTTCCTATCAAGAGAAACAATGATCGGCTGCCTCCCGAAGTGCCCACCTGCAACCTGGGCACGCGCCCTGAGTGGGAACCCAACCCGTGACCCTCATGTGCATGGATGGTGCTCAACCCACTGAGCCACACCAGCCGGGGTCTAGGGGAAATTCTTGAAAAATGTGTGACAGAGAGCTAATAACTTTAATAGGAAAAAACTCTCAGTAAGAAAACAGGTCATGGAAATGAAAAATTTAAAGAAAGGTTTTATCACAGAAGTAACCAAGAAGAGCAAATTACAAGAGCAATGAGATTAGTGTGTACTTTTTCACTCAACAGCTACACCTCCAGGAATTTATTCTAAGTAAAATGTTGGGCAAGGGTGCAGGTGTGTGTGGCATTGCTACAGAGAGTAGTGAAGGATTTAATATATGTCCAATCATAGAGTGGAAAAGAACACATACTTTGCTTGCTTGGGTGTACGTCTATGAGTTTGGAAGAATATATACCAAAATGTTAATAGTGATTATCTTTGGTTGATAGGATTGTTTTTAAAAAGTATTTTATTATTGTTGTTATTACTTTGCATGTTCTCCCCCCCACCCCCCACCCCCGCTCAAAGCGCATGTATTCCTTGCATAATATTAAGTTAAATGATTTCTGGGAATAAAGAAGCAGCGTGTTTCTAAGGAGCCTGCCCAAGCAGAAAAGTGACCATTTCCTGACAAACCCGGCGGCGGGGTTTCCACGGGCCGGTGTAGGTCAGGGTTTGCAGCTGCCGAGCCGCCAGTCTCTCAGGCACCGCCGAGGCCACCCCAGGCTTG